CTAGTTAGCCCGGATAATAAGCGCAAAGTCCGTCACATTCGATAATAGGAGCTCAAGAGTTAATTGGATAAGAAACGCTCTGAAGCCCAACACGTGTTTTTAGACGCGACCCTTCTTGTCATCTTAAAAATCCTCTTGAGCCTAGGGAGCAGAGGACGCCGGGCGAGAATAGAGGCAAACTATACACTCACGTGCGAAGTCTTCCTAATGAGCGAGGTGAACGGGTCCGAAGCTGCAATAGTGTGCCACTTTATCGCTCAAAAGTGCACGAGAACCGGCTGAAGGGTAGTTATGCGCAGACGCTTCTCCATTATCCGCCCGCGCTTTCCTCAAACTTCAATGCTTGCTCCCATAGCGAAGCAAGCTCTCAGTGGTAGAGAACAACTACATGTGAGAGGACGCAGACAACTGGAGCAGTCAGACAGTTAGACAGGACTGGCCGTGCGGCTGTGTGGGCTATTGAAACGGTATCTGTTTCCTCCTGCCCCGTTCCCGTGCACCTTTGACTATAAAGTTGGCTCGGCACTGCCACCCATTCACCCCACATATGGCAAGGACCAGAACATGAGTGTGCTGCTTGCCTTCGAACGCCCTAAGGAATATTCTTTGACTGTACACTTCGCGACTTTCTGCAGTTCCATGACCTCGATCAAGCGGAAAAGGCTGGTCCTTCATTTTTGTCAACATACCTCGGAATGTCTCTGTTGAGGAGATAGGATGTGTGGCTGATAAGATTAGCCCCAGTATCTCCTCAGTACCTCACTTGCATTGTATTGCTCATTGTCGACTCTGCTACTCCAAGCGACGGTCGGGTAAAGTTCTTCTTCTGTTCATATTCTGTTGGTATTCGCTGATAAACCTTCTACGTTCGACGTGCCACTACATCTGGCGATCAGGATCAGGTTCAAGATCAGGATCAGGATCAGGATTAGGATCAGGATCAGGATTGAAGCCGACTCAACATGGACGCAGAAACTCTACGGGCAATCCTCGAAGCTCAAGCGGAGGCTCAGAAGAAGATGCTGCAGGCCGTGATGATGGAGATGAAGGGCATGTTCAAGACAATGGCCCCACCGACAGCCCACACAACGTCGGCAGAATTCGTCATCAATTCGCTGTCTTCACGCCTACCGGTCTTCACACACGATCCAGAAAGCGGCTGCACCTTCGACCTGTGGTATAGTCGCTACGAGGATATCATTATGCAGGATGGCGCTTCACTCGACGATGCAACCAGGGCGCGGATTATTGTATCAAAGCTGGATGCAGCAGCCTATGCACGATTCACCAACCATATTCTGCCAAGGAAAGCTGCTGATATTCCCGCCGCTGAAACAGTGAAGATCCTGCAAGAGTTGTTCGGGCACAATTCATCTGTATTCGCACGTCGCTATGCCTACCTCAGGAAATGCAATGGTGTAAATCTACGAGACTATACTGGACTGGTGAATCGACGTCATGAAATGGCCGAGTTCAGTACAATTACGCCGGAACAGATGAAGTGCCTCGTTTGGATTTGTGGTCTAGCTGCTGCCGAATACGCTGATATTCGCACTCATGCTCTACGCAAATTAGAGACCAATCCAGATACTACACTCCGGGACCTAAGCACCGAGATCCAACAGCTATTGGATATTCGACGAGACGCCAAACTTCCGGGCAACCCACCGTCTGCAGAAGCACCACTGTCGGAAGTCAACGCAGTTAATTCCAAAAAGAGTCAAAGCAAGGAGCCGCCATCACCTTGCTTCCGCTGTGGAGGACAACACTGGGCCAAGGAATGCGAGTTTGTGGAGAAACGCTGCCACTCGTGCAACCGCGTTGGACACAAGAAAGGCTTCTGCAAGAATTTCAACAGACGGAACAGACGGAATTTTCCGAAGTCGAAGAAGAAGCACAGAAGGGACGAATCAAGTTGTGGTCGTTGCATCCTCCACCAGCAACCCACTTTCGACAAACCGTATCTACCGAACCGTCAAGATCAATGGAGTCTCTACACGTATGCGTCTCGATACAGGAGCCGACATCACACTGCTGAGTTACAAGGACTGGATCGCAATGGGTCGTCCAAGACTGCTGCCGTCACTTATTCAAGCTGAAAACTGCCAATAACAAGGATATCAACGTCAGAGGCTACTTCAAATGTACCTTCTCAATCGATGGTCACCAAGGAAAAGGAAACTGTCATGTCGCCGACACTGCTTCACTACTAGGACTCGACTGGATCTCACAAGTCAAGCCACTCTTCCAAAACCTCACTGGAAATGCTCTCTGCAATGCCGTGTCAGCAGCCACACTCCCGTCTCTGCGGAAGTCGCTCACCGTGCAACTTCCAGAAGCAGTTCTCTGCTGTATTCGCACCAGGCCTGGGATGCTGCACAAAATCGAAGGCCTCTCTGAAACTCAAGCCGGATGCCAAGCCCGTCTTCCGGAAAGCCCGTCCCGTTCCCTACGCCGTTCAACCTCGCATCTCACAAGAAATCGACCGTCTAGTAGCTGCAAAAGTCCTGACGCCGGTCGATCACTCGGACTGGGCCGCTCCTGTCGTCGTCGTTCAAAAGAAGAATGGAACAATTCGGCTGTGCGCAGATTTTTCTACGGGCCTGAACGACGCCCTTATGCAACATCAACATCCACTTCCGACGGCAGAAGAAATATTTGCCAAACTGAACGGAGGACGCTATTTCTCTCAACTGGACCTGGCCGAAGCGTACCTTCAACTGGAAGTAGATGAAGATTCTCGACCGCTCCTCACAATCAATACACATCGTGGCCTCTATCGCCTCAACCGCTTACCCTTCGGAGTGAAGGCCGCCCCAGGAATTTCCAGCAGCAGATGGATGCTCTTATTACAGACTTGGATGGCACTGCTGCATACCTGGATGATATCATCGTCACTGGCACTACTCTTGAAGAGCACAACTCTCGACTGGAAGCCATTTTCCGAAGAATTCATGACTATGGATTCCGCATTCGCCTGGAAAAGTGCTCACTGCTACAAACCGAAATCAACTACCTCGGTTTCGTGATTGATGCAGAAGGACGTCGACCGGACCCTGCAAAGATCGAAGCAATTCAACGAATGCCTGCACCGAAAGACATCGGCCAACTTCGAGCCTTCTTGGGCCTAGTCAACTTCTATGGAACGTTCGTCAATGGTCTGCACAACCTACGCGCCCCGCTGGACGCACTCACCAAAAAGGATGCCGTCTACTCATGGACCCCAGAGTGCCAGTCGTGCTTTGATCGCATCAAAGCAGTTCTCAGATCGGATCTATTACTCACACACTACGACGCTTCACTGCCACTCATCGTCGCCGCAGATGCCTCCAACTATGGTATTGGAGCTGTTCTCTCCCACCGATTTCCGGACGGAACCGAAAAAGCAATCTACCATGCCAGCCGAGCCTTGACTCCAGCTCAGAAGAAATACAGCCAAATCGAAAAGGAGGCCCTTGCCCTAATTTTCGCTGTTCAGAAGTTCCATCGATTCGTGCATGGACGTCATTTCACACTGAAGACAGACCATAAGCCGCTCATTGCGATATTCGGAAACAAGAAAGGAGTCCCGATTTACACAGCGATGGGCTACTATACTACTGAACTACGACTTCAACATGGAGTACGTGCGGACCAAGGATTTCGGTCAAGCTGATGCTCTTTCTCGTCTGATCGTCGCACAGTCACCTCAAGCGGAAGATAAAGTCATCGCCGCCATCGACGCCGATGTCTCTGCTGAAGTAATGGATCACTGCCATCACCTTCCGGTCTCATTCAAAACTGTACAGACCGCGACTACTTCTGACCGCGTTCTATCTCAAGTCATCAACTGCATTCGAACTGGACGCTGGCCAAAAGTGGACCGCAATTCACCACTCTGGCACTTCTACAACCGACGAGATTCCCTATCAACTACTGACTCATGCCTTGTAACTTCAAGCCGTATTGTCATCCCGAAGTCTCTCCAACGTCGAGTACTACAAGCGCTCCACAAAGCCCACCCAGGCCAAACGAGAATGAAGATGCTAGCTCGAAGCTATGTCTACTGGCCATCGATGGACTCGGATATCGACAACCTCGTCAGGAATTGCACTTCTTGCGCAGGAGCCGCCAAGAACCCTGTGAAGACCGAGCTCCAGTCCTGGCCAAAGTCAACCAAGCCATGGGACCGAGTACACGCAGACTTTGCAGGTCCTCTGGAAGGGACATTCTACCTGGTCGTCGTGGACTCATTCTCAAAGTGGCCTGAGATCATCCAAATGAACTCCATCTCATCGTGTGCTACAATCAGGAACTCTGAAGAAGCCTCATCACGGACAACGGCACACAGTTCACCTCCAGGCAATTCGAGGAGTTCTGCCGTCTTCGAGGAATCACACACATTCGCTCCCCTCCTTTTCATCCACAAAGCAATGGACAGGCCGAGCGTTTTGTGGATACATTCAAGAGAGGACTATCCAAACTGAAGAGGGAGGAAGCAACATCGGATGCACTTCAAACCTTTCTGATGGCATACCGTTCAACGCCCTGCATTTCGGGACCAGATCAGCTGTCGCCGGCCGAAAACTTTCTGGGACGTCGAATACGCACACAACTGGACCTGATGATGCCCCCCTCCAACGAGAGCAATGCACAACGAGACACCGCAATGGAGCGACAATTCAACAAGCATCATGGAGCACGACGTCGCTACTTCGATATCGATGATGCTGTCTACGCCAAGGATTATCGAGGAGCAAAAAGCACATGGACGCCTGGCGTTGTCGTACGACGTCTAGGCAAGGTCACTTATCTGGTACGCTGTGGCAACTTATTATGGACACGACATGCAAATCAGCTCAAACGTCGTGATCACGCTCCCATAGTCGACCAATTGCTGGACGTTTTCGATCTCGCTCCACTCCGCAATGAACGTACCACTCCCGCCGATCGAACGATGCTCGACAATGCTACGACGCCAACTTCATCCAGTCTCTCGACGCAGCACAACGGTTCAACACCATGCTCATCGGCACCGCCAGGACCACCACTACGACGATCTTCACGCAAACGTTCAACGCCGCATCGACTCACAGTGGATCCTAAGAAGAAATCATACGATCTTACTTAAAAGGGGAGGTGTTGAGGAGATAGGATGTGTGGCTGATAAGATTAGCCCCAGTATCTCCTCAGTACCTCACTTGCATTGTATTGCTCATTGTCGACTCTGCTACTCCAAGCGACGGTCGGGTAAAGTTCTTCTTCTGTTCATATTCTGTTGGTATTCGCTGATAAACCTTCTACGTTCGACGTGCCACTACAGTCTCAAAAGCTAGCAAAAACCATGAGCCAAAAAAGAGCATATTATGCTGAAGAGCGTATGGTTCTCCATCAAATAGAGTAGATTGCTCCGAAATGATTTCATCTCCTTGTCAAAATTTCCAGTTGGAAGAAGAACGTCATACTCTAGGACCAACCCGATAGCTGACTGACATAAGGGTTACCCCACCAACAGCATTTAAGATTAGAATTGGTTTCAAAATTGTTGCTGCATAGTTGTGTACCTGCTCTTGGCTTTATTGTGGGAGCTGGATACCTCACTTCCTATTTGGACGTCATGAGGAGCGTATTTCACTATGTAATTGTAAGCCAGCAACACCATTAGCATATTTGCGCAGGTCAGCTCGCCCCAGATTTGTTTTAGACGTAAGAGGTAAACATTGAAGAGTACAGGTTTTACAATTCACAATATAGTAAAGGATAGAAGGATAGGTTGGCCAATCCCTTTGTGGGATGCGGCACGCATTCTACTTCCATTCAGAATCGTAGTGGCTTATTGAATGCGATGTGGCCTATACAATGACTTGCGGTGGCCAGCCGATGTACAAGTCAGTGTTTTATCCTCCCAGACGAATCTGGTACCAATTTACCGTCCCGGAGGGTAGAAGGCTTGGTTGGCCTGGGTGGAAGTAACGCAGAAGTGGTAAGCGTGCCACTGTACCACCTCCTGACCGTACAACAAGTAGAGTTACTATTAGGTTGTCCGGAAAGTTCTCAGCGTTTTGTGCACCTATTTTTTGTACATTCACTGCTGATTAAAAACTCATTCTGCCTTGCTTCTCAGTAGCACATCCTGTAGAGAATTTCTTGCGCTATCTGATGGTATAATTGCCGTTTCACCATTGCTTGATAAACCCCCTTTTTTCAAGATTTTTTCAAGCATGTGAAAAGAGCACTTCGGACGATTTTTTTCTTCGACTATAAATTGGGGCAATCCGCAATCGAAACAGCTCAACAAATTAACCAGGTGTGGGGGCCCAATAGTGCTAGAGAAAGCACTGTGCGGCAATGGCTCAACAAATTTCGTTCTGGAGATTTCAGCCTTGAAGATGAACCTCATAGCGGTCGACCTAAAGCAATATCTGACGAGGATTTTAGGGGATTTTGGAGGCTGACCCATCCCAAACAGTTCGAGAGATTGCAGAAAAGCTAGGCCTTGGCAAATCCACTGTTGCAGATGGTCTGGAACGCATTGGGAAGGTGAAAAAACTCGACAATCGGAGTGACCGGCAGGAATCGGCACGTCTCGAGGTTCCTTCTGCATTGCTTTTGCGCAGCAGAAACGACCTGTTTTTGGGCCGAATTGTCACCTGTGATGAAAAATGGGTCATGTATGATAACAGGAGACGTTCCGGACAGTGGTTGGATTTCGAACCACCGAGGTAATTTTCAAAGCCGAACCCTCACGAAAAAAAGATTCTGGTCACGGCTTGGTGGTCATCGGCTGGTGTGATCCACTATAACTTTTTATCACCAGGCCAAACCATCACAGCAGAACCCTACTGTGAAGAAATCGACGAATTGTACCGAAAATTTTGTCAGATGCAGCCAACACTTATCAAAAGAAAGGGTCCGATTCCTTTGCATGACAACGCCCGCCCACACGTTTCACAAATCACTATCCATAAATTGAACGAATTGGGGGTTGAAGTTCTACCTCAACCGCCATATTCTTCAGACCTTTCGCCAACCGACTATCACCTTTTCTAACATTTTCAGAACTCCCTTGCTGGAAAATACTTCATCAATCAGGACCAGGCAAAAAAGCCTTAGTGGATTTCGTGAATTTTCGACCACCCAGTTTTTTACTTTGATGGGATTTCTCGACTGCTGTCACATTGGCAAAAGTGTGCTGATTCGAATGGTGCCTATTTCGATTAAATCCGATGAGTATTAAAAAAGTTACGATCGTTTAAAGTGAAACACCCAAAACGCTGAGAACTTTCCGGACAACCTAATAAATATGTGGATCGAATTTGCTCCAGAGATTTTGAATATCTCAAAATGAAGGTTATGCGGTGAACCTTCCCCCAGCGTTCGCTCTGCCTGATGGAACTCGTTTCATTGTTGGGTGACTGAGAAAAGCATATCAAGGAACATGTCGTAAATAGGTACTAATTCACTACCGTTCCCAACAAACAAGGAAATATAGGTAGGAAATTGTGTTATGAACGGAAATAGCTACATTTTCTGGGATCTAGGGCCAGAGTCGCACGTGACAACACGCGCGAACATATGGTAGGCACAGCAACAGTTTTCCTGTCTCTTTTGCATAGCTTAGCCTTCCAGTTGGTTTTCAAATGCCTCTTGCTAAATATAGATAATTGAAATGATAAGATTCAATAAAAAACACGCAAACTTAAAGGAGCGGTCCGCGATGACCTATGAAAATGCAAGAGGTTATGTGGGAAGGTAGTGCGGTCCGGAGTGGACAACCCTGTGCCAGTTTCGCGGCGGAAAGTTGTACGGTAAAGGGATTAAGGCGCAAAGTTGCTTCAGTGGTACATCCCTTTTTCCAGTGACTCCGCCTCCAGACTCCGCCTCCAAAGTCGGCTTTCCAGCCAGAAGTAGTTTGAGGAGGCTTGACGAATGCGTTTCCAACGTTCCGTTTGGCATTTTTTTTCTTCAAAGATGGTTCACTTGGCGAATTTTCAAAATCACCCAGGCTTTTTATCGCGGACCGTGTCCTTCAAAGTGAAGAGGAAACATTCAAGGCGTTCAAAGCGAAGGTACGCCCTATACATGGGTGCGTCTATACTCCAGAAAATAGGGTAACAGCAGAGCACTACAATCTAAAAATACTTCATAGAGATCATATCTAGTATATCAGCAGGGCGTGGGTGTGTCTCTCATAAGAACCTGGCGCGACATGCAGCTTCCCGAGATATTTCTAGAGATATCTCAACTAGGCCTGTGTTGGGCAAACACATGACTACAACTGTCACAAAACTAAACTTTCCATCCGAAGCGCAACAGCCGCTACGCTCGAACGAAGAACGAGAACTGCAGGATATGAAGCATGCATTCGAACCTCACGAGAGAACTTCATCAAAACATGACTGGTTGGTTTCGAAAATCTCTCGTAGGCGTGGTGTAGTGGCAAGCTACACAGCATAGCGGTAGTGTTGTCTGTGAGTCAAGTCTTGGATCGACTCCTGCCCAAGACAATCAGACCTG